GAAACAAGATAACTCACATTTTTAGAGTTTAAAAGTTTAAAATTGAATAAAAAATTTGTAAAAGCTGTTTAATAAACAATAACTCCAATAAATAAAGGTATTCAAAAAATAATTAGCCTTCACAAAATATAAACTAGGAATATATCGATTGGAAAAAAAAAGACGCCTACCTTCATTCGACAAACTGCAATTCTTATGAAATATCTCTCTCTATTCGATACGTATCGTGTCGAATTCATTTAATGCCTGTGTCACTATCGTCAATGGAAGGTTCAATTACTGTGTCTTTACATTATTGGATAGAGGTAGAGTGTGATAATAATGTTGAAATTCATCAAGTGTAGCACCTGATTTGCAAAGTTTTAGTAATAACTTTTTTGTAAGTATTTTCAGAGCCTTTTTTCACCCTTTCTGGTACCATCCAGCCGGTATGGCTTGGGTTTTTCAAGGATTGCGAAAAGCTGGTGTTCAGTTTGTTTCGGTGATTCGAGAAGTCGTTCTAGTCGTTCTAACGGGCAAACAATATGGAGATGAGCGTCAGCAACCCCGCTCGTTACAGCTTGACTAATCAATCATTCACCACTGTAATTCTAGCATCACGTATTAACACATAATGACTTTTGAAGGTTAGCTGCTCGTGGAAAGAAAGGGTTACGTAATCACCTTGTCGATTTCGGAGCAATCAAGAAAGGGAAGAGACGGCTTTAGACAAAACAAAACAAATGGCTTGGGCAAAATGTTGAAGCATTTCAACGAATACATTCAACAAAAATAAGTGTACCTATATCAAAAACTAGGTAAATATAGCCAAATCCACTTATTTTTTGATAATCTATCTGTGGAAGAATTTATGACATACCTTTTTGAAACACCCTGTAGAATATTGGTTTATTTAATTTTTTTTAATTGCTATTATATCTATTTCGCAATAACAATTTTAAAGTTTTTGTGATACATTTTTGATTTAAGTTCACTTTTAATCCGACGTATGAATAACTGCATTGCGAGAGGGTTGTTCTACATTACATAATTAATTACATAATTTTGTTTAGATAAAATCTTGTGTTATATTGGAGGCACATAATATTTATTTCCTTTGTTCTTCACAAGTTGAATCAAAGATTGTTTATAATATAATTTTCTTATAGTTAATATGTTACTGTATCTGAAAAGTGTTCTAGTGGGAAATCGTAGGTTTAATTAGACATTTTTGAATTACCACTAAAGATTGCAAAGTAGTAGAGTAAGCTCCTCCTCCCCATCCAATTATCCCGTAATTTAATATGGATTGAACTAACGCGTTGTAAAGTAAATTAAGTTCACGCTCACTAAGTATTTTTGAGGTTAACTTAAAAATATATAATAATGATATCATTCTTTTCACCAGAATATTAATATGTATATTCCATTTTAAATTTGAGTCTATGGCTACTCCTAAATATTTGGCAATAAATAAAACAGGTAAAGACCAGGATGTACTACGGAATGGTAGATCTATTTTTAAAGAACGAACTTTAATTGGCTAAGACATGTTTAAAATTGTAGATACCTCGGTAGATACACTGTCTTGTTTAAACTAATTGTTAAAAGATTTTCATCAAACCATTATGTTATATTTTGTAAATCTCGTTTTAGACTAGTTTCCACATCCAACCAATCGTTTTTTTAGCTATTAATTTATCCAAGAATAGAAGGTGATATGTTTATCTAACGGCTTATAAAGCTCCATAAGATTCATAGGGAAAACCGAACCCGCATCCCATTTCTCAATTGGGAAAAAAAGGGAAACTTCATCTGATCAACCCTATAAGTAAAGAAGTTATCTTCCTGTGGATTCTCTTCGACCTAGGAATTCTAGGGACCGTTACAGTAGATAGAAAAGCACCAAAAGTTATCGGAGTATCGGAAACGGAGATGTGATGAAGCGAGTGTTGAGAAAACATAATCTTAAGATTCTGAACGCTTTCTTAAATGTAGGATAAAAAATGTATGGCAACCTGAATGGGACCAAAATAAAAGGATGTCAAATATTTATAAAACTATGTATGAGCATATTTTAGAACAGAATGATTTATGCGCGGAGCGACTAAAAAACTAAAATATAAAATGTGCAAAACGATAGAATCTGACGAGATAAAGAGTAATTAAAAAAAAAAGAATAAAGAGATCTTGACAAAGTAGATATTCCCTATAGATCTGTAATAATTTTCTATCTCAGGATATAATCCAACGCCTGCTGTGATATTACCCAATGAAGAAGTTGTTTTCCGGAGGCAAACGGTTGCTCGTGTTATTTTGTGATATGCGGTTTCGGTTTTGAAATTCGGTTTCTTTTTTAGTTTACGTCTTGGTTGCATTTAAATTCGGCATTGTGTTATATTTTAAATAAGCTTTCGTTTTTCGGCATTATTTTTCAAAAAATATTTTGCGAACCACAAAATGTGTGCGTACATACCTACCTGTCTTACCTAGATAGAGATATTACTTGATTTAATCATTTAATTTGCTGAAAATATTGAAGACTTTTTAATTGCAGTTTGCAAATTTCAATAAAAAGGAATTGCTTCATTTTCATTCATAACCCATAATATGTTGACGACAATCTAGATATCGGTTTGAAAAGCGGTTAACTGTTGCTTTTTATTAAACATTTTCCAGCGTTTTTATTGTTATATATTTTCAATGTATCCAATATCGATTTACCATTTATTTTAGCGATATTTATTAACGCTCAATTTAATTAAATCTGTAAATTTTCATTATACCCTACATTCGATCGTATCACATAGTTAATATTACATCAAAACCAATTTATTTGGAACATTATATTTTATTAAAAGTGTAAAAATTATTCAAGATAAATTTAATTTAGTTATTTGACAATTTAGGAATTTAATATTTATTTTCTATTAAACATTTAACGAATGTATAAAATGTAGCAATTTTATAGGAAAACCAAATTGCCGTTAATTTTTTAGAGATATTCCCCTGACCTGTTTAAATCTCAATTTTACTATAAAAAATAGATGATAGGTAAAAAATGATATAGAAAATATGATAATTTCGATTTCGTGTGGATAGTTTTCATATATTAAATCAATAAATCACCAGTATTTATCGGACGCCACTGGAAGGGTCACTTCCTTTACTTAGCTTTTCGATTTCGGCCTCGAACCGAACGGAATGAATCTCGTAGAACCGTTTTCAAAAAATGCATCTGTGTGCGCTTGACACCAAAGAGAGGGTGTGATTTATGCTTTCGGAGGTCTAGACCCACGAAAACCGGCTATATACCCGCATTTATTTAGCTGCTTCGCTTCATGGTGACGTCCACAACCCCCTTTTCTTTCGATATATTTATACAGGGATGATACTGTTTTAATAAACATTGGTATACACTTTATCACATTTTGGTCCACTTACACAAATACTGTATTCGAGTTTGGCAAAATGTTGTACGACTTTAAGATCAACTGAATTTTGTTGCTACATCTTTAAAAAATACTATGTTTACGCATTAATATCGGGTTATGTGTGCGTACGATATTTATTTGGCTTTTGGAAAATAATTCCATAGCTACAAACTCTGTGTTCGTTAACATTAACGAGAAAATCAAATTAATTAATTTAATATATTATTTGAGTAAACAATCAACTAAATACTAATTAATTACTATACAGCATTTTAATATTAAATGTGGTATTAGGTTGAAAATTATGTAATTAGTTGTTTTTATTATCTCTATTTATCTGTAATTTGTGGAGGCACTTAGGTCTTACTAGGTCCATTATGCATCCTCCTACATTATTAGGCCCTTTAATTCGTCAGCCAGCAGACAGATGTGTTGTAGTTGACAACGTCGCCGAGAGGTACTTACATCTCTTATATCAGCCGATGTTAGCCAAAACTCGTCCAATACAAAGCTTCTAATAAATGAGAGCGTCGAACAATCGTAGAGAATAAGGTCGATGATATCATCTTCTTATTCACACCCCCTTCAGACTGCGAATTAATACAGCCGCTAGCTATGGTTCTGTATTCGCTGAAATGCCCCCGTAATTTTTAAACGGATTATGTCTATTTGGTCCATTTTCAACATGTTTTGCTTTGTTACCACTCAAAAATATGACCAATATTTTTTTTTAAACTTTACCATTATTTTATATGGAGAAAATATACGTTCCATGTAAAATATTGATTTCCTGAGCTTTATATTAAAGATTGGACATTGGGTTAGAACTCAATTGTTGACTGATATATCCGTGATGATTCCCATATTATTTTAGGAAAGGTTTTGCGTATTTAAAGCGAGGAGGGACAGAAAGTTAAAAAATATAGCCTTGCACGGGCGATATACTTACAAAGTGTGTTAAACGTGTTAATTAATTACGTTGAATATATATTCATAATATAATATATTTATAGAAGATCAGAAAGATATATTAGGCTCAAAAATTTTTATTTCTCAAAATTACTTATTTCTGCACTACTTCCCCCCAAACCTTGAAAACAACAGCTTTGCAAAAAAAAACAATACAACTTTTATCTCTTCTTTTTGGAATACGTCTAGGAATGTACTTCTTTTATAGTTGAAATCACGTGGAAGTTGCTGGCCAATAAAATCGAACTAGCAGGACAGGATGGCGTGTGAACCACTGCAGTATGGTTTGAGGTAAGAACATACAATTAATTATTGCTAAACGCATATCGCAAGTTTGGAAGTTTACATTTGTGTGCATAAAATCAAAGCAGATGTCCAAAAAAAGAAGTTTTGGGGCTCTACAGAAAGTAAAATTTTGCTTCAATCATTTCTTCGACAACTCATTTTAAAAAATGGTCCTCAATTCTGGCCTGGGATTTAACTTATATGCAGCGCTACCAAATCTTTCCAGTCAACATCACCCTCTTCTGAATCATTAAATGAATTGCAAACAAACAATATAGAAGAAGTCGACTTGAGAATATTGGGTCCACATACTTCAAGCAGTGCGAAATAGACATGAAAACATGTATTTTGTCGTCAGATACTGATATCATAATTATGGCATTATATTATTTTAGAACAATTGAAGTAATAGGAATAAAGGTAAGAACTTAACCAGTGATATTGGTTTCAAATGCATATTTTGATTTGTTAAAACTTTTTTAGGAACTTTGGATAAAAGTAGGAGCAGGCGCTACAAAACGAAATGTTCCATTATATGTTCGATGTGGAACGGAAACTTGTTCGGTACTTCCTGCACTTTTTCACTTAACAGGGGCAGATTATACCAGCAAAGTTGGGACCAAACGTGCTGCCCTTCATGCCGAACCACAAAACCATCTGTCAAGTTTTGCACAAATAAGTACTTAAAAAATTCGCTCATAAATATTTATTTAAAATATACCCTGTATAGTAACTTTTTTTTAGGTATGTCGAATATCAACATTGAAAAGTCTGTAGAGGATGCAGAGAAATATTTGGTAAAAGTATTACGAAAAAACACATTTCATGCAAAACGTTTAGATATTGGATGTATCATCACCAAAAGTGTGTTTCTTTAGAAAAATTTCCACCAACAACTTCAAACATAAGATTCTAAATTCTAAGAGCTTTTTGTATTTTATATATTCAAAATCACTGTTTGGAAAGAACACCAAATCTTCTCGATCACCTCCAATTTGGTTACAATAACGAAAACGGTTACCTGGTGCTCAAGCGTGTAAAAAATCTTTTTCCGCCAACTGAAGAGTTTGTACCCAGCTGTAATTGTTCAAAATGTTCTCGAGACAACTATTGTAGTTGTAGAATCGCTGGGTTAGCATGTTGCTCCTTTTCTAACTGTCAGACAAACCAGTGCAATAATCTCTATAATATGTAAAAATTTTATGTTTTAAGATAGGCCTGCACAACATACGGCCCACCATTGTCGTTTTGACGGCCCGTTGGCCGTTGAATAGTTTGGCCCACCTACGCCAAACTATACATTTTTCAGTACAAACTTGCATCTAGGATAACGACCTTTTTTTTGAAAAGCTACTTTGTTAGTTGGAATGAGAATATGCCTTCCAGTGATATTGTTTCTGGTATTTTTTGCTACTATCAGAATCCCCGTGAGGTTAGAACTACATTGGCACCATTGCTCACAATTTTAGGTTTAACGATCTGAAATATATTTTACATCTTTAGTCTTGTTTTATTTTAGAACTATCATTGTAGATATGAATCGTACCTACCACTTACAGTTCACCTCACCAGATCCTACATCAGCTTCTATTCCACCCGTGTGGAGTCGTGTCATTGTCAGACCAACCTCCTTGATGCAAATGTCAAAGGGAAGTGAGACTAAGAATTACTTCCATGGCTCCTGTTATGATGAGACTTGTTTTCTTTGAATTTTATTTGGTTTGGGGATAGCTGTCAATTGTTGGGTATTAGTAGCCAGAAAACAACTGGACCGTATGTTACCATAGGTCGTATGCTAGTCGTGTAAGTTCATGTTACGACTCTAGAGGAGATAACCCAGGTGCGCCCCACACTTCGGCAGCATTGTTCATAAACAATGTATGCTTTTTTGAGTATATTTTCTAAGTGTGAGTTCTATGTTAACTTGCTGTAAAAGGTGAGACCTAGGTACTTCACCTCTGTTGTAAAGTTTAGTTTTGTGTTTAGGAGGTTTTAATTCCATTTTCTTCCTTTTCCTCATGAAAATAATCATTTCTGTCTTCTTGGGATTCATAAGCTATTTTTATTATAATGAAAAATTCGAAAAATTATAAAAATACTTTATGTATTAATTTCACAGTTTTTAACAGATGCTCTAAAAACAGTCATTTATAGTTTTTTATTTTTTTAAATAAGGGTACTTTACTCTTTAGCTAAATTTATATTTTTTTACCTCTCATATAGTAAAGTACAATAATTTTAAAATTTGTGGAGTTTATATTGGTCGAGATCCAACTTTTATCAACAATATATTTTGGGAAAAATTAAGAATACAAATTTTACCAAAATTTTGCAGAACACTATATATACAGAATTTTTCAAAAATATGGGTAGTAACGAGTCTTCAATAATACTCGTATTACACATGATCTTGAAAAATAAGAAATTGAACGCAAATGGCTGTTCTCAATGACTTGTTTTATTTAGGGTTACTTACTTTTAGCCAACCGATGGCATTAATTTAGTTACATGGACATGGATATGATGAAGATTTAGTAGTAAATGATGTCCAAAAACAAATGTCATTAATTTTATTGTGAAATATTAGGAATATTCCAATTTTTCAAATTACTATTCCACGCCTCACTTGTCTAAAAACGAACAATAACCGCTTAGAAATTCATCTGATAAAATTTGACATAAACACATTTCTGTTGATTCCGGACGTGATATACATGGTGAATAATAAATATTGGGATACAGAGTAAGCGCAGGTTGTTTAGACCTAAATATGAGGATTGGACCAAACATGCTTCAATAAAATGTTGATGTGGAAAAAGTTAAAGTGGAAATATTTTTTCGTTTTTTGCTAATAATTTTACAACATATTCATAAATGGTTATCAAAATTGGCACAAAGGAGCAACTTTAGCCAAATAATATTATAGGATTTATTATTTTATATTTTGATAAAAGGTGTGCCACATGAGCGACTCCTGCTGATGAAATTTAGTCATACTTTCTTTGATGAAATATTTAATTAATTTTGATTAGAAAATATAATATAAACATTCTTTTCTTGTAAAATTGTTATAATTATTTAAAATTGTTAATTTCAATCGTTTTTCAGAAAAAATGTATTGTGCTTTGTTTAATATAAAATAAGCTAGTTAACACCAAAAACATAACATATTTCGATATTTCGAATACGTATATTTTAAAATAAAGTAAGACATTTTAAATTCATTTTTATTTGATTCACTGTGTAACTAGTACTACGTTTTCGTTCCCAGGATGTTAATATCAGAGATCGTTGAAATAACGTCTACCTTGTATATCTTTATCTTTCCTTCTTTCTCTCCCTATCTCTCACTCTTTCTCTCGCTTTGCCGATGGTTTTTGTTCCTAGATTCTCTTCTTGTAGCAACATGCCCTTGGCTGTGAAATCGTCAAGCTGGAAAGTATGGTAATTTCTCTGCAGGTAGGCGAAAATACAAACCGAATTATGATAAATTCATGATTGACAGTTTTCTTGGGTTTTGAGTTTATGAATTCTTATTAAATTGTAAAAGCTAAATCAGAGTGATGTGTCAAATTCCAAATTTTACAATTATTATAATAAGAGTATTAAATTATTTGATTATTTGTAGATTTTTGTAGAAAATAGGATAGTATCACGTTAAAGTAACGAATTAGCGACATAAACGGTTGACATTACGGTTCATTTTAGAGAAATCATGTATATGACAAAAATGATAGAGTATGGTATTACAATCAACTCTTATTCCAAGAATGTTTTTGTAGAACACTATATATATAATTTTTAAAATATGGGTAGTAACGAGTCTTCAAAAATACTCGTATTACACATGATCATGAAAAACAAGAAATTAGGCATTCCAAACAAATGAATTACCAGTGGGCAGGTTTGGTATAACTAAGGGTGGCGACATATGGTGTATTCTATCTACTTTACGTAAAATCATCAATAATGGATTACATTTAAATATTTTATGTCAAACACAATAAAAATAATATTTAAAAACCCACCTATACATTTCTTCATAAATTGGCAGGCTTGGCAAGTACTACTTCGAATAAAAATAGCGTCCAAATTGCAAGACTATGTCGTTACCCCCCTTAAATATACAAGAATTTCCCACTGGCACCTATTGTTTGACAGGTCGTTGGAATGCCTAATTAGGCATTCCAAACAAATGAATTACCAGTGGGCAGGTTTGGTATAACTAAGGGTGGCGACATATGGTGTATTCTATCTACTTTACGTAAAATCATGAATAATGGATTACATTTAAATATTTTATGTCAAACACAATAAAAATAATATTTAAAAACCCACCTATACATTTCTTCATAAATTGGCAGGCTTGGCAAGTACTACTTCGAATAAAAATAGCGTCCAAATTGCAAGACTATGTCGTTACCCCCTTAAATATACAAGAATTTCCCACAGGAACCTATTGTTTGACAGGTCGTTGGAATGCCTAATTAGGCATTCCAAACAAATGAATTACCAGTGGACAGGTTTGGTATAACTAAGGGTGGCGACATATGGTGTATTCTATCTACTTTACGTAAAATCATGAATAATGGATTACATTTAAATATTTTATGTCAAACACAATAAAAATAATATTTAAAAACCCACCTATACGTTTCTTCATAAATTGGCAGGCTTGGCAAGTACTACTTCGAATAAAAATAGCGTCCAAATTGCAAGACTATGTCGTTACCCCCCTTAAATATACAAGAATTTCCCACTGGCACCTATTGTTTGACAGGTCGTTGGAATGCCTAATTAGGCATTCCAAACAAATGAATTACCAGTGGGCAGGTTTGGTATAACTAAGGGTGGCGACATATGGTGTATTCTATCTACTTTACGTAAAATCATGAATAATGGATTACATTTAAATATTTTATGTCAAACACAATAAAAATAATATTTAAAAACCCACCTATACATTTCTTCATAAATTGGCAGGCTTGGCAAGTACTACTTCGAATAAAAATAGCGTCCAAATTGCAAGACTATGTCGTTACCCCCCTTAAATATACAAGAATTTCCCACTGGCACCTATTGTTTGACAGGTCGTTGGAATGCCTAATTAGGCATTCCAAACAAATGAATTACCAGTGGGCAGGTTTTGTATATCTAAGGGTGGCGACATATGGTGTATTCTATCTACTTTACGTAAAATCATGAATAATGGATTACATTTAAATATTTTATGTCAAACACAATAAAAATAATATTTAAAAAACCCACCTATACATTTCTTTATAAATTGGCAGGCTTGGCAAGTACTACGAATAAAAATAGCGTCCAAATTGCAAGACTATGTCGTTACCCCCTTAAATATACAAGAATTTCCCACTGGCACCTATTGTTTGACAGGTCGTTGGAATGCCTAATTGAATGCAAATGACTGTTCTCAATGACTTTTATGACAACTTAAGTACCAGTTCTGTCAAAAGTCGGGATTGTTTTATTTAGGGTTAGGTACTTACTTTTAGCCAACCGATGGCATTAATTTAGTTACGTGGACATGGATATGATGAAGATTTTGTAGTAAATGATGTCCAAAAACAAATGTCATTAATTTTATTGTGAAATATTAGGAATATTCCAATTTTTCAAATTACTATTCCACGCCTCACTTGTCTAAACACGAACAATAACCGCTTAGGTACTGAAATAGGTACTGAAATGACAGAAATATACCTTGAAGTAGAAAAATTCCTCTTATAAAGTACTTTATTCACTTTATTAGTTTTTGAGTTATTATGGATACAGACCCCTAGGTAGACATTATCGCGAAAATGGTCAAAGCGGATTCAGGTAACCCTAAAACGTGAATAGTGAAGGTCCTTTGAAA